GAGAGAAAAGGGATAAGGAGACGTAGCAGAGGAGAAAACATAGTGAAATTTAATAGAAAGACGAGAATAAACGATAGGAGTTAAAAATTGAGTGAAAGAAAGAGAAATAACGAGAGAAATTGAGGGAAGTGGAAAAGAGAGATAAATGTACAGGGTAGATTCACCCAACTTTGACATTTCATATTCTGTAAGTGAAACAACAGGTGAACGTAGACCTATTGAAACTTACATGTTTCACCTCGCTTCAGGGTTTCTCGTACTAACGTAGATGAAAATATAACAAGAATAATAATAATAAATAGATTAAATAAGCTCCAGTTATAATAAGGGGAGTATGACACATTCCAAAATAGAAATATGTGCACAGGTAATTAAGATAAATTAGCACACCCGATAGAACAGGTGACAGTTCATATACGGTATACCTGTATATATGAATAAGTATAGCTTGGTATAAATGGGTCTCGAGTATACCTTATTAATAAGAAAGAGTGTAAAATTTAAGGTTAAAATATAAGAAGATATAAAGACAATGGGAAATACAAGTCCTAATTTAAGTTGAATGCAAAAATTACACACACACACATATATATATATATATATATATATATATATATATATATATATATATATATATATATATATATATATATATATATATATATATATATATATATATATATATATATATATATATATATATATATATATATATATATATATATATATATATATATATATATATATATATATATATATATATATATATATATATATATATATATATATATATATATATATATATATATATATATATATATATATGAACCAGCGTACGCGAACTGATGTCATTACGATGTTATGTTAATGAGAATAACTAATAAGTTAATAATTGGTAATGAATAAATAGTGACTTAAGCTATAAGCAAACATTAGGGAAAAGTTACTGGTGTAATAATTATTAGTTACTGAAACAGGACTTAGAATAATGAGTGATATGAATATCTTGCCTCAGGTTTTTGTACATGAGGTGTTGAGGATAGTATGAATGTATTATGAAAAACCATATTTACTAAATACCACAATATAAACCCCCGAAATAAAATATAACAATAATATTTTTTACAAGATAAATTAAAAGATAATTAAAAATAAAAATATGAAAAATAAAAGAATACTCAGACGTAAATTACCTAAATAAAAGCCAGAATATTTACACTAAAAAACAATAAATAAATTACCAAAAGTGACAAACAAAAAAATGAAGAACTTAGGGACGAAGACTAAATAATAAATAATGTAAAGAGCAAAGACTACACAGAACAGCCACAATAGACGCATTTAGAATAACTCTTCCCGTGAAAACCATAAAATTTTATTTCCTAATTCAGACGTAAAGTACAGCAATAAACCCAGAACTAATGAGCGAAACTAATAGAGACAGCAACGTGTCGGGGAGTGAGAAATCTTGAAATGAATTGATGGATGATTTAACAACCACATGATGAATATGATCCTTGTTGAAAATACCAGGGGCGCGGTCCATCGGTCGGCTCAATTATAACCTTCCGCGACGAGGAACCTGTCGAAAAATAATTTTGAAGAGCTCAAGGAACACCGAGTAATGATTTAGTACTGTGATCAAACTCTCGTCTTTCACATATTAATATACCTCCTTCATCATGTACTGTTTCGACACCTTCGTCATAAGTGAACACAAGGAAGATATATTAAAGACGTTACAAAGACACAATTAACGAACAAAATATAACAAATTTGTTTACTGAAATATAAATAAATTTTCTTTGTTAAAATTAATGTAAACTAAGAGTAAGGGAACTTTGTAGGCAACCCTTTAATGTTAAGTGTCAGCCAGATAAAAGTTTTCACTTACACGAGTTAAAAAACTATTTTTGATTAAAGTTCACGTAAATACCAAAGCGGCGACGGCAGGACACAACATGAAGTCAGAGATAATGAACAACAAGGCAGACGAAGAGATGGGGGCAGGAGACAATGATAAAGAAAGAGTGAAAAGTGAACTGAAAGAAATTGGAGAAAGAAACAAGAACATACGCAAAACTCTGAACAGGAGAACATCGGAGGAAAGAATATAAATGAGGATAAAATAACAAAAAAAATTACGAAACAATAATGATAAAAAATATGACGAAGAGGACAATGAATAAATGATACCTGTAGAGACAAGGGGTGAGGGTGGTGGTGTGGTGATGCGAGGTGTGGTGGTGTGGGGTATGGTGGTGAGCTTGGTAGTGTTAGGTATGGTGATGTGAGGCGTGGTGGTGTGAGGTATGGTGGTGTGAGGTGTGGTGGTGCTGTGTGGTGGTGTATGGTGTGGTGGTGAACTTGGTAGTGTTAGGTGTGGTGGTGTGAGGCGTGGTTATGTGAGGTGTGGTGGTGTGAGGTATAGTGGTGTGAGGTGTGGTGGTGTGGGTGTGGTGGTGAGCGTGGTGGTGTGAGTCGTGGTGGTGTGAGGTGTGGTGGTGAGCGTGGTGGTGTGAGTCGTGGTGGTGTGAGGTGTGTGGTGTGAGGGCGTGGTGGTGTGGTGCGGTAGTGTGGTGTGGTGCTGTGGGTGTGGTGGTGTGAGGTGTGGTGGTGAGTGGTGTGGAGGCGTGGTGGTGTGAGTGGTGTAGGCGTGGTGCTGTGAGGTGTGGTGGTGTGGTGTGGTGGTGGTGCGTGATGGTGTGAGGCGTGGTGTGAGGGTGGTGGTGTGGGAGTGGTGCTGTGAGGTGTGGTGGTGTGGTGGTGTGAGGTGTGGTGTGTGGAGGAGGTGGTGTGAGGTGTGGTGGTGTGAGGAGTGGTGGTGAGCGTGATGGTGTGAGGTGTGGTGGTGTGAGGTGTGGTGGTGTGAGTTGTTGTGGTGAGCGTGGTGGTGTGAGGCGTGGTGGTGAGCGTGGTGGTGTGAGGCGTGGTGGTGTGAGGCGTGGTGGTGTGTGCAGTAGTGTAAGGTGTGGTGCTGTGTGGTGGTATAAGGTGTGGTGGTGTGAGGTGTGGTGGTGAGCTTGGTGGTGTGGAGGTGGTGGTGTGTGGTGGTGTAAGGTGTGGTGGTGTGGTGGTGTGGTGTGAGGTGTGTGGTGTGAGGCGTGGTGGTGTAAGGGTGGTGGTGGGTGCTGTGAGGTGTGGTGGTGTGTGTGGTGGTGTGAGGTGTGGGTGGTGTGAGGAGGCGTGGTGGTGAGCGTGATGGTGTGAGGGTGGTGTGAGTTATTGTGGTGAGCGTGGTGGTGTGAGAGGTGGTGGTGTGGGTGTGGTGGTGTGGGCGTGGTGGTGTAAGTGCGGTAGTGTAAGGTGTGGTGCTGTGTGGTGGTATAAGGTGTGGTGGTGTGAGAGGTGTGGTGGTGAGCTTGGTAGTGTGAGGCGTGGTGGTGTGAGTGCGGTAAGGTGTGGTGTGTGGTGTGGTGGTGTGGTGGTGGTGGAGGTGTGGTGGTGTGGAGGTGTGGTGGTGTGAGCTATTGTGGTGAGCGTGGTGGTGTGGGCGTGGTGGTGAGCGTGGTGTGGAGGTGTGGTGGTGTGAGGTGTGGTGGTGTGAGGCGTGGTGGTGTGGGGCGTGGGGGTGTGAGTTGGGGGTGGTGAGCGTGGTGGTGTGAGGTGTGGTGGTGTGAGTTGTTGAGGTGTGAGCGTGGTGGTGTGAGGCGTGTGGTGAGCGTGGTGGTGTGAGGTGTGGTGGTTTGAGGCGTGGGGGTGTGAGGTGTGGTGGTGTCAGTTGTTGTGGTGAGCGTGGTGGTGTGAGGCGTGGTGGTGTGAGGGTGGTAGTGTAAGGGTGTGTGATGTGAGGGTGTGGTGGTGTGAGGTGTGGTGGTGCGAGACGTGGTGGTGTGAGTGTGGTGGTGAGCGTGGTGGTATGGGGCATGGTGGTGTGAGGTGTGGTGGTGTGGGGCGTGTGGTGTGGAGGTGTGGGGTGTGAGGCGTGGGGTGGAGGTGTGGTGGTGTGAGTTGTTTGTAGTGAGCGTGGTGATGTGAGGTGTGGTGGTGAGCGTGGTGGTGTGAGGTGTTGTGGTGAGCGTGGTGGTGTGAGGTGTTGTGGTGAGCGTGGTGTGAACGTGGTGGTGTGAGGTGTGGTGGTATGAGTGTGGTGGTGTGAGGTGTGGTGGTGTGAGGTGTGGTGGTGTGAGTGTGGTTGTATAACGTGTGGTGGTGTGAGGTGTGGTGGTGAGCGTGGTAGTGTGAACGTGGTGGTGTGAGGTGTGGTGGTGTGAGTGTGGTGGTTTGAGGTGTGGTGGTGTGAGTGCGGTAGTGTAAGGTGTGGGTCGTGCACACCTGTACTGTGTTACGTGCGCGTAAGCGAACATACATTATGAGTTACAGCGTTCATCGAAAGTTACATTTTTTATTCGTCTTCGGACTTTTATTACTAATTAATTTCTTCTAATATCTTTCAAACATATTAATGAAGGAGTAATTATTACTGAACATTTTAGTGTTATTAAAATATAAATGAAAACACTGCAATATGTATGTGTAAATCAATGATACTAAAATCCAATGATTAACTTTGGTAACATCTATCAATGCGTTAAATATATATATAGGCCTATATATATATATATATATATATATATATATATATATATATATATATATATATATATATATATATATATATATATATATATATATATATATATATATATATTGATACATAGATAACCTCACCACGTCTATTGCCAACCTTCGACAACACCGTTCTCAAAGTCGCCTTTACACAAGTATGGGGAAAATCTTTGTAACTAAGGAAGACGTAGACAGAATTAAAATACACATTTCAGGTACAGGAGAGTGAATACTTCTTGTGGGAAGTTCTGGCGGTGTTGTTGTGGTGGAAGTGGGCGGGGTTTAGTGTTTGTTATTGTTGTGGTTACGATAAAGGCGGTTGTCTGGGCAGGAGTAGTCCTTGTTCTTCCTCCGTGTGGGTGTGGTGCGAGGTTAGTTGGTGTTACAATTGTGGGCGTGTTCTCGTAGTGTCACAGGGCGGGGTTATGGGTTACATCTTGAGGTGAGTGCCAGTAGATGCGGTGACACGTCAGTGGTGAAGGTTGTGTGGCGATGGTCAGCTCACACCCGGCCGCAGGAGTCTCCCCACTGGCCACTGTGCTCGGGGATGCTCGCCCACCGCCTCGCACCTCAGTAGAGCGTTGCAAGCTCGCCTGGCATTGCGTGGTGGTTGCGTTACCTTGCCTTACTTACATGCAGGATTATATGCCAGCTCAAACGTTGCTGACTGTTAATAATGCACTGCTTATCTAACGAAAATATCCATAATAATTCGGTCACAAAAAGTATCAAATCTATATTTGGGTTCGTCAAGAGCAACTCACATGTGAACCCGGAATGCAGGAGGAGGCGCCTATTGGTTGGGGGCGGGTCTTGGGCGGAGCGTGATTGGTTGTGGGGCGGAGCGAGGGCGTGACGCATTGCGTAGCTCCGCCTCTCGAGAGAGTGCGCAGCGCCCCGGGGCGGTGCTCGTGACAGCTCATTCATTTGTGGCGGCGGGCGGCGTGATTGACAGCAGTTGGGGTCCAGTGACAGGCGGACACGCACGCCGCTCCGCTCTCAGTCGCCTCATGTCGATTGACGTGTTGACGCGCGGTGCAGGTACGGCGCGGTACTAGACGGTGCAGTGCGGTGCGCGGGTGGGCGTGTAGTGACTCTTGCGGCGCGACATTGTAGTGGTGTACCGAGTGAAGCAAGCACAGTACTCTTGGGTGACATGGCTCAGCCTGCCAGGGTAAGTTGTGCCCCGCCGCCCCACTCTCCTCATGTTGACCTCTAGTCGGTTTGTGGGCGGCAGTGGGCGGCGGCGGTCAGTGTGTGCGGTAGCGTCCAGTCGGTCAGCCAGGCGGCCTCTCCGCCCGTTACCAACCAGTGTTTTATTGTGATACAAGGTGCTGAGGAAAATGCGTGTGTGTGTAGTGTTATAGTAAGGTGTGTAACGTGGTTCTCCCGCAGTACGACGACGGGCTGGGGCACTACGGTGGCGGCGGCGCGAGTATGGAGGCTGTGGCCAACATGTACGGCGATCCGCACCGCAGCGCGGCGGCGGCAGCGGCTTTACAACCATCTCTCATGAGCCACATGAACCATGTGGGTGGTGCCGCCCACAACGCGGCCATGTACGCCCACTCACAAGCCTCTAACCATGTGGCGGCAAACCACGTGATGGGTTCCGTGCCCGACGTACACAAACGCGACAAAGACCTTATATATGGGTAAGTAACCTGACCTTCTGTGTCGTAATTCCTTATTTGTTAAAACACTTCCTCATTCTCTCTTTTCCTTTCCCACTGACCACCTCATAAGTACCGTAAAGATGGCTGCCCTCACAAGTTAGTGGTGGGGGCAGAGTGAGGGTAAATGGGCGTGAGGGTGGCGGTGAGCAGGTAACCCGTGGCGGCGGGCGAGGAGCGCAGCTTTACCGCTACCCACCACCTGCCGCCGCCCGCCACCTCGCCTACATCACTACCACCATACGCCCATCTCACTTCCTTCATTCTCATTACAAAGTTCAGTAAAGCTTAGAGTCAACCTCAAAATTCGTGATATTTTTTCATTAGTACACCGCAAACCATCAAGTACCCGAAGTCTCTCATCTCACAATATACAACACACAAAGTCACCACAAGATCTACAGTAGTTACAATTGGTGAACCTCAAGCGTTGTCGTTTTCTATGAAATTCAAAATTATTCAAATATTTTTTCGAGTATGTTTTAATCAATAAATCTGATGTTCCTAATGAAACACACACACACACACACTCACACTCATTATATATATATATATATATATATATATATATATATATATATATATATATATATATATATATATATATATATATATATATATATATATAGTACTCTCACTCCCAAAAGCCTGAGGATATGTGAAGTCCACCTGCCAGCAAGTTTAAGTAATATCTCAAGTTAACATTCGAAGGGCTGGATTATGTTAAATTTCTGTCCTATTTATAGAGTACTTGGACATGTCTTAAATGTTACCAGTCAAGTAATGAAACGGGGAAGAGAAAATACATAAAGTACCAAATATAATAATGGCAGTAATATTGTCCGACCTATTCATTGTTTTTGTTTGGAAAATAATATAAACAATAAATCCAGTAAAACACCACGAAAAAAATATTATAAACAAAAGGTAAATAAACGCGTTAAAATTACGATCAACACTAAAACATTGTCACAATCACTGTTACGTCACGAAGAGTAAAGTTTTTGTGGCTATAAAATTTTTTGATAAAGATAGTGACTAATACTTACCATAGTCGCTTATACTATGTCACACGAGAGTGTAGTGGACCACTAATAACATTCTCCGCCACACCTTCTTGAAGACCCCATGGTGATGTGAGGAACACGAGTGATGTTGAGAAGATTGGCGATGGTGGTAGTGATGTTGGGAAGATTGGCGATGGTGGTAGTGATGTTGGGAAGATTGACGATAGTGGTAGTGATGTTGGGAAGATTGGCGATGGTGGTAGTGATGTTGGGAAGATTGGCGATGGTGGCAGTGATGTTGGGAAGATTGGCGATGGTGGTAGTGATGTTGGTAAGATTGGTGATGGTGGTAGTGATGTTGGGAATATTGGCGTTGGTGGTAGTGATGTTGGGAATATTGGCGATGGTGATAGTGGTGTTGGGAAGATTGGCGATGTTAACAGTAGTGTATGGTGTGATGATGGTGGTAGTAATGAAAATGATTCAGGATGTATCAAAGATGGTGTATTAACGATTATGGTGATGTAAGATTCAGTATACAATATACTAATAATGGTGATAGTGATGTGTATGGGTGATAGTGGTTGTGATGTAGAGGGGCATTGAGGGTGGTGGTAGTGCTGTGCATGACCGATAGTGGTAGTGGTGTTTTGTGTTAAGCGATGGTGGTTGTGATGTGTGTTAGCGATGGTGGTAGTGCTGTGTATGAGCGATAGTGGTAGTGGTGTTATTTGTTAGCGATAGTGGTTGTGATGTTATTATGTTAGCGATGGTGGTTGTAATTTTATGTGTTAGCGATGGTGGTTGTGATGTTATGTGTTAGCGATGGTGGTAATGACTTGTGTTAGCGATAGTGGTTGTGATGTTATGTGTTAGCGATGGTGGTTGTGATGCGATGGTGGTAATGTTATGTATTAGCGATGGCGGTTGTGATGTTATATGTTATCGATGGTGGTTGTGATGTGCTAGCGATAGTGATGTTACGTGTTAGTGGTAGTGGTGTTATGTGTTAGCGATGGTGGTTGTGATGTTATGTGTTAGCGATGGTGGTAGTAATGTTATTATGTTAGCGATGGTGGTTGTAATTTTATGTGTTAGCGATGGGTGGTGATGTTATGTGTTAGCGATGGTGGTTGTAATTTTATGTGCGATGGTGGTTGATGCGATGGTGGTTGTGCGATGTGGTTGTGATGTGTGTGCGATGGTGGTTGTGATGTTATGTGTTAGCGATGGTGGTTGTGATGTTATGTGTTAGCGATGGTGGTTGTTATGTATTAGCGATGGTGGTTGTAATTTTATGTATTAGCGATGGTGGTTGCGATGGTATGTGTTAGCGATGGTGGTTGTGATGTTATGTGTTAGCGATGGTGGTTGTGATGTTATGTGTTAGCGATGGTGGTTGGTATTAGCGATGGTATGTGTTAGCGATGGTGGTTGAGTGTTAGCGATGGTGGTTGTGATGTTATGTGTTAGCGATGGTGGTTGTGATGTTATGTGTTAGCGATGGTGGTTGTGATGTTATGTGTTAGCGATGGTGGTTGTGATGTTATGTGTTAGCGATGGTGGTTGTAATTTTATGTATTAGCGATGGTGGTTGTGATGGTATGTGTTAGCGATGGTGGTTGTAATTTTATGTATTAGCGATGGTGGTTGTGATGAATTGTGTTAGCGATGGTGGTTATGACTTGTGTTAGCGATAGTGGTTGTGATGTTATGTGTTAGCGATGGTGGTTGTGATGTTATGTGTTAGCGATGGTGGTTGTAATTTTATGTATTAGCGATGGTGGTTGTGATGAATTGTGTTAGCGATGGTGGTAATGACTTGTATTAGCGATGGTGGTTGTGATGAATTGTGTTAGCGATGGTGGTAATGACTTGTGTTAGCGATAGTGGTTGTTAGTAATGTATATGGAACACTGAGAGGTAGTGCTTAATAAGTTTGTTTGTGTTAACAATTTTACTATAAATTAGTTATAGTAAATATAGTATATATAATCAATAGTAATTTTTCGGATGTAGAGTAGTATGACTCTTGAAGACGCGCGCTAACATAGAGGTAATAAACAAATTAACATGATTAGCCATACACATGTTAATATTCCGGAGAAGCTTACAGTGAAATTGCGTAGAGTTAAATTTACATATTAGTTGGAAAAAAATAGTCACGATAACAGTAGCCTATAATGAAGTCTTTGGGAGGTGTACCCTTCTTTAAAACGCATTAATCCACGCCATACAGAAAAAATCCTAATTCTCGTGTGACAATGTATCTTGTGACACTCGGCCGACTCTTCTCAAATCGTTTACAGCGGGGAAATAATGGACTGAAAAGAGCTTCATGATTATCCAATTCTCCGCACTTTCTGCAGCCTCCCTTAATACTACGAATTTGTAAAACGCCTTTGAGACCTAAATACAAAAAAAAAATGGCAGATCTCGAGCGAGTCATGGGCAAAATCCGTGATAAGTAGGGAGTGAGTCGCCGCCAGAATGGACAGGAGTTAGCTGGGTCCCGCACCGTCATTCCTCCCCGTTCATTCCCTTCTTTCTTTTATTTACTCGCTTGGTTTAACTTAGGATTCCCTCAAGTTCAAACAAAAGCCTTCTGGTTGGATTAACAGTCGAATTTTGAGAAAGAATGGATACATGTTCTGGAGGCGTGTGCGTTATGTCGTCTTAAGGTCCATTGCCAAAATGCCGCATTCTTGTTCTGTTTGGTTTCACAGTAACCCCGATATCGATGAACAAACGTGATTCACAGATAATACTTGTTTTTGTATGAAATTTAAGTGTCCATGTTAGTGTAGTATGACTTCCTTACGCCTCGGAATGACAGAGCGTTACTCGAGAAGTTTTAGACAGCGAGGGTGTTGACGGCGGTTGTGGTAGTGGTAGTGTGGGTTAGCGGGCATCGTTATCAAAATTATACTCGCGGTGCGTCTGCGGTATCTGCTTTATAGGCGGCTATCAGACCAAGGAATCGTGTTTACAGCTTTAAATCCAGACTGAAGACCTATACTGGAGTCTCGTTTAATGGAGATATTTTAGTGAAGTGGGAAAAGTCTTCTTTTTTTTATCTACTTTTTGCTGTTTGTTAGGTTGTGTGTGACGTGTTAGATAGGGTACTGTACCTGGAGGTGGTGTGCACTGGCTGTAATTATTACAAAGGTTCGAGTGTGATTTGATTAGTGTGTGTGTGTGTGTGTCCCTGCCTGGAATTGTTTCGGTCGACCCTGAACGTTGAATCAGGTTTCCCGGATTAAGGTATCGGCGCCCTAAAGAAATAATTGAAATTCTCGTCAAAAAGTAAATGAGGCTGGTAGTGGTCTGTGTATCTTAGGGATCAACATTCTCATCCCTCTATACACACACACACACACATATATATATATATATATATATATATATATATATATATATATATATATATATATATATATATATATATATGACTTAATTTTTGAAGCACTTAATTATATATTGTAGCCTTTGTTCATTTAATATATTTTTACCATTTGAATTTAAGTTGTTCCATTGCATCATATCTCAACAGACCAGTAAACAAACGCCTAGTTATTTGCCAAGTGAATTATTCGGTACATTTTCTTAAGGCTGACTGACTAAAGGATTAGACCAATATATATATTTATTCCTTGATATGAGTGAGTTTGTTATTTTTTGTTGATTTTAAAGATACAGTACACATATACTATAGTGAGGGTGGTGCTGCCGCCGACCACGCTCACTGGCTCAGGTCGGACACATCTGCCCTTCGGTTTGCTTTACACAATTTGTGTACCAGTCATAAATGAAGCAATATTTTAAACGATTTTTATTTTCATTATTGAGATATATGGAGATGCTTATTATCTTAAACAGAGTGTGACAGTGAAAATTTTCATCTGTTTTGCATATTTCATTTCCTTGTTTAAGTGTGTATGGGTTACTGTACTTAAGTCAGGTGAACATGTAGTT